TATATATATGAATATAAAATGAGGAAATATAAAAAGTAAAGCTTTACTATATAAGAACAATTAGACAAGAAAATAAAAACACTCAGATTTCAGTAAAGACACAGAAAATGTAACCCAAAATAAAAATTTTCTCTACCACCACCTTAATGTAGACTATCTAAAACCAAAACATACCAATATATGTGTTTGCATGTATGTACGTGTGTATGTTAACACTATTGCTTGGTATTAAAAACATTAAGTCAAAAGTACAATTTAGTATTTCACTGATTTCTGACTAGCAATTTCTAAATTTTTGAGTTGTTAAAATTAAAAAAAAAGAAAAAAGAAAAAAATGCTTCCATGAAAAATGTTAAAATCCCTCTTGGTAAAAAGTAAACTATCATTAAATTTGTTGGGGGCATTTTTTCATAGGAGAAATTAAAGCTTGCAACATTATCAAAAGGAAGGAATAAAATATGCAATAAATACAAGTATTTGGTTCAAAACATAATAAAATGTAACCAATTAAATGGTTGTGAATATTAGAAAATAAGGAAAAATGTGTTTTTTAAATTTGAGAATTCAACATATAGAACAAACCAAGCCTCTAAAACGCAGTTGCTTTTTCATACACACACAAGAAATGCTTCTATACAATTCCTTGCACAAGTGCAATGGATTAAGCAGCCACCTAGTTTAGTCTTGAAGCTTACCCTCATAGCACCCTACAAGTGGAGAGCAGTACTGTTCTCCTAGCTGCTACTCAAATTGGAGAGGTAGGATTTCTTGTTGTAGTTCAGTGCTTCTGACCCAGGGCAATGTTGAGGGGTTTGGAGCCCAGGACACGGCCATTCATTTCAGCCATTGCTTTAGCAGCTGCCTCGGGAGAGAAAAAGCAGATCAAGCCAAACCCTTTGCTCTGCCCTGCTTCCTGCATCACCTTAACTCTGCAAATGGACCCAAAGGAAGAAAATTCCTTGCGCAGTGTTTCATCATCGATGGTGTCATCCAGGTTCTTAATGTAGAGCTTCGCCGCTTGGCGTGCGCGGATTCTTTCCTTTTTCATCTCTTCAAACTTTTCCTTTAACTCAGCCTGGCGTTCTACCTTCCTCTGAGCTCTGCCTACAAAAATTGTCTGCCCGTTTATATCCTGTCCATTCATTTCTTCAACTGCATTTTTGGCAGCTTCGTGACTATAGAAACTCACAAACCCGAAGCCTTTGGACTTTCCGTCAGCATCTTTCATCACCTTAACGCTCAAAGTTTGGCCGTATTTGCTGAACACTTCCTTAAGCCGCTCATCGTCCATATCATCGCCAAAGTTTTTGATGTACACATTAGTGAATTCGCTGGTTTTGCTTCTGAGCTCAGCCTCGCGATCCTTACGGCTTTTGAATCTGGCCACAAACACTGAGCAGTCCCTCAGCAGCTTCCCATTCATCTCCTCAATGGCTTTGTCTGCTGCGCTCTGGTCCTGGTAGTGCACGAAGCCGTAGCCCCTGGAGCCTTCTTCATCGCTCATCACCTTGGAGGACAGGATCTTTCCAAACGGTGAGAAGTGTTCATATAAGGTTTTGTTATCAATGGATTTGTCCAGATTCTTAATAAACACATTCCCGATTCCTGATTTCCTCAGGTATGCATCCCGTTGAGACCACATGAGACGTATGGATTTGCCTTGGATCAAATCAAAGTTCATGGTGTCTAGAGCTTTCTGGGCATCACCCAGCTGGAGGAAATTGACATAGGCATAGCCTAGGGAGCGACGGGACACCAGGTCCCTGCAGATGCGGATGGACAACACGGGTCCCACTGTGTTGAACTTCCTGAACAACACATCCTCGGTGACATCTTCGTGGAGGTCACCCACATACAGGGATGCAGCACGGTACTTGGCTTCCACACTCATGCTTCTGCTATTGTTTTGTATTGCTGGCAGGGTTTTTTGTTTTGTTTTTGATTTTTACTCCAACACTACAAGCCTGTTCCCCGCAGCTACCAAGAATGATACTTCAAGTACGGCAGCCCAATCACAGCTTAAGGCCTGTTCATTCTTTGTGGCCTCCAATGACCACTTAGAGGTCCAGCTGCAGGGCCAGTTGCATCTCCCCCAAGTCAAGCAACGCTTTTATCAATAACAAAAAAAACAAACAAACTTTCCTGGTAGTTGGCAATCTGCCTTCAACTCTCAGGCGCGGACTTTCCTTCCCTTTCAACTCAGGAACTTACATGAGGCTGGCCAGGACAGGCCCTCCATCTGCGTCCACCCCAGCAGCTGGTGGCTGGTTTCCGAGCACAGACAGGCCTTGTTCCTCTGAGTTAGACTTCTAGCCAAGCCGGGAGCTAGCAAGGCCGCGGGGGCGTGCAGTCCAGGCCCAGCGCTGGAGGCGCCTTCCCGTGCAGAGTGACCGAACCCAGCCCGCCCACGACACGGCTATCCGCGCAGCGCGCCCGGGCCCTGCCCCTGGCCACCCACCCCGCACCCCGGTGGCTCGCGGTTCCCGGGAGGAACCTGGCTGAAGACCGAGTCTCACCAGTTTGAGGACTTCACGCGGCGGGAACCCGGAACTAGCTGGCTAGCACTGTTTGGTTTTTCACATTTTTGGGGGGCCGTGTTCCTCCCCCGCCTCTCGCTCACTTCCCACACACACTCGTAGGGCTCAGGGCAGGAGGCGGTGTCATGGGTGGAGAAAGCGGCTGGGGGTGTGGCCGGGCAACCCACCACCCCGCTGCTCCTCCTGGTCTGTTTGGTCAAAGCCAGCTTTTCCAAACAATGATCAGGATCCCCGCAACTCCTGGAGACACCCCGAGATGGCCTTGATGACATCCTTCAATGCGCACTTCGTCCAACAACTTTCTGCAGGATCTCTGCATGTCCCCTTCCCACAAAACTCCGAGAAACTCTTGACTTTCTTCCAAGGTCGGCTCTTAAAATCTTTTCTTCTTAGAAAACAGTTTAAACCCTCTATGCGAACAAAACTTTTCCGTGCATCTCTTCTGAGAGTCTAGGTTTCATTTTTCAGACAGTTGTATTCTCTCACGTTCCTCGCTGATCAAAACAGACTCCATTCCAGGACAGTATGCCATCTGCATCTTATTTTCAGAGATTTACGGTAATGAGTAATTTACTGGATGTCCACTGTATTTTGAATACCTTAGCTGTGTGGAATAGGTGAGTTAATGAAAGAGTCTGGAGATAGTGGTACTTAACTCAGTGTGCAGCAGCTGTTAAATAAATCAATACGTTTGGAAATGTCGGCACAGTATCAAGAATGGAACAGGGTCTGTATAAGAGTGGATCCACTTCTAATATTAAGTAAAATATATTATGATTCCTAGCACACCGTGTGATTTGAATAACAGTGTCCTTAAAAATCAAAACTATTTACCTGAAGAAGTGAACTGTAGATTAATTTTTAAAAAACAACAGCAAATTTAGCAAGTTGCAAAGCTTTAATCACCACAGACACTGCATAAAATATATGGTGAAAAGCAAATTCCAGCTCGATAACTGAGACAGAGAGGAGACTCGACAGACCTAACTAATGAGACGCAGAAAGTCTGTTGTCTGATTTACATGTTGGATAGAAGGGTTTTGCCTCTAATGAATCCAGAATTAATGGGGTGTTTTCTTATTTAACCAGGAAAACGAATATGTATCTCTCCCGGGAAAGAAAATGACATTGTCTCAAAAGTCATTGCTAATATACATTAAAAGTACTCCAATTTTCACTATAAAATACAAATTATTCTTAGCCTAGTTAAAATTAATTATGTGGGAGTACAAAAGAGACCATTCAATATGTGATGGGCTGTTGAAGAACAATTATAAAATAAGAGTATGCTGTCTGCTTTCAAATTACTTATATAAAAGCAGAATATAGATTTTCTACAACAAAAGTCCCTGGTCTACTGGCTATGAAGGGACTCAAAGTCAACCACTGGAAAAAAAACTTGAGACCATTAGGAGGCTGGGAATGGTACTAGTGAAATCTTCATTGTTTTTTTCTTTTTTTTTCTTTTTTCTTTTTTTTTTTTTTTTTTGAGACAGGTTTCCCTGTATATTTGGAGCTTGTCCTGGAACTAGCTCTCTAGACCAGGCCATCCTTGAACTCACAAATGATCTGCTTGCCTCTGCATCCCAAGAGCTGGGATTAAAGGTATGTGCCACCATTTCCCGGCTAGGAATCATCATTAGTAGGAAATTTATTTGGCACAATTTCTTGCTTTGCAAATCTTTTTTTACCTAGAAACTCAGATACCCTCTGCATTTGCTTTCAACTTCTGTTAAAATATTCTGCTATAAACTGCAATTAAAAACTATTCCTACAAAATCTCATCAGCTGTCTGTTCCACTAGAAAATGAATCAGTAATAAACGTGTATTTATTTTCCTCCGGTAAATCTATTTCTTACTAATGGGTTTGTTCTAACCAAGAATCCATGGAATGCTGAAAATATTGTTTCCACTGTAATGATGGACTTATGGTTACTTTTATACAAATTTTGGTTGACATTACTTGTCTTCAGATCATTCTGTTATGTGTTGCTCCTTCTTAGAGAATTGTTTGTAAAAACAGGTGAGATCCCCCCCCCCAATATCTTCTAGACTGTAATCTACAAGAGGGAGAAACATAATGGCATATTTATCACACATTATTACACATTTGTACAATATGGCATTATGTACTTTCAAACTTCAGACATGTCAATGCAATCAACAGTATAAGAACCCTTTCAAAGAAAGAGTCTACATATGTAATTTCTGTGAAGTCTGCTTCAAGAATTTTGACTTGTTGAAAATTTGACTAAGACCACATTAGCTCATTTACAACACAGATTCACATATGTATTATCATGAAATATTGAAAGAAATCATGTTTTTCACTATGTATTATTCTATTTTTTACCTTTTAACTTAGCATTTTGTACAATACAAGGAAGAGCTTTTAAATCCAGCACTTAGTACCATGCACTTATAGTCAAGTACATGCAATTGTTACAAACTGATGCTGGTAGGACTGCCATAACTTTACCTATGATGTTGAAGCAGGAAGGTTAAGAGTTCAAGATTAGCTTTAGTTAAATAATGAGTTTGAATGCAACTTGTACCTCTTACAAAAAAGAAAAAATGAACAAGAAGAAGTAAAAGAGGAAGGGGAAGAAAAGAAAGAAAGAGAGAGAGAGAAAGGAAAGAAAGAAAGAAAAAGAGAGAGAGAGAGAGAGAGAGAGAGAGAGAGAGAGAGAGGGAGGGAGGGAGAGAAGGAGGGAGGGAGGGAGAGAAGGAGGAAGGAAGGAAGGAAGAAAGAAAGAAAGAAAGAAAGAAAGAAAGAAAGAAAGAAAGAAAGAGAAAGAGGAACGAATGAAGGTCAAGACAGGATACCAGGAGTATTCAGCCCACAGAATCACCTAGAGCAGGGCTCATAGAGATGCAGATTGCCTGAAGAGGAAATTATGGATCTTGCATGGGTCATGGGTCTGCGTTAAGTCCTCTGGATACCAAACTACAGTTTGGTGTTTTTGTGGGTCTCCCAACAGGGGAAGTGGTGGTTTCTCTGACTCTTTTGTCTGCTCTTAGGACCTCTTTCCACCTACTGGGTTGTTTCTCCCAGCCTTAATATAAGGGCTTGTTCCTACCTTGTTAAGCCATTTTTAGATGATATCCCTAGGGAGCCAGCTCTCTTCTAAAGGAAAACAGGCGGTGTGGATCTATGAAAGAGGTGAGAAGTACAGGGGATCTGAGAGAAGAAGAGGGAGAGGAAACTGTGGTTAGGATGTATGGATAAGAGAAGAATAAATAAAAAAGAAGAAAAAAATCATTCTTATTGGTTAAATTGCTAACCATTATGCCCGTTCATATGCTTTCACAAAGTACTTATGGACATCAGTGAGCCAAACTTCTCTTTACTTCTGTAGCTTTCATCTTTGGTTAGTTGTGTTATTAATAAAAACTCTAGCTTTTACAATTGCCTTCCTTATTATTTCCCATTGTTTGCCCTCTTAATATTATTTCATAGATTTAATTCAGTCACCTTTTGTTCATTTTTTTCTGTCTTCTAGTCTATCACACATTTAGCAATGAAATGATTTTGCTACCATCTTCTTCATAAGATCTTCATGAGTGAAAATAGCAATTAACTTCCAAGATTTTACAAAATTTCCCCCACAATCTAATTATGTATAGATAATGTTAAATGGTGTAGGAAGTTCTTCTGTATGTGTGTTGTTTTTATTGGTTAATTAATACAGAATATATTCAGCCAGTGACTTAGCAAAATAGAACTAGGAACTGAATAGAACCAAACTGAATGCTGGGAGAAAAAAAAAGGCAGAGTCAGTGAGAATCCATGTAGTCTCCACTGCTGGAGCCCAGCCAAAACTTTACCCTAGGCCATGACCACGTGGAGATGTACAGATTAACAGAGGTGGGTTAAACATTAGTCAGAAAATACACTTATGCTATTGGCCAAACAGTATTATAAATAATATAATTTCTGAGTGATCATTTTGGTCTAAGCAGCTGGAAATAAACAAACAGCTTCTGTCACTAGATAGATTGAAAGATAGATGATAGATAGATAGATAGATAGATAGATAGATACATAGATGATGGATAGATAGATAGATAGATAGATAGATAGATAGATAGACTTTCAATCTAATCTATCAATTACTGTATGTATTATATTTGATGCACTTGTCCAAACTCAGGAACATTCTTTATTTCATGTTCAGATTGATCACAATTTATTTCTTGATTGCAATGACCTAGAAATTCCCATGATACACCCAGACTGAAGAGCACTCTTCATTGAGAGTAAGTTAAGGTTTTGAACCAAAATAGCAGAGGTTTGGAGTTATGCCCACATTTATTATTAATTTCTTCTTCTCATTCCCTTCTAGTATAGGAGGTACTTCTGTCTATGTGTTGCTTTTATTGGTTAATGAATAAAGAGACTGGATTGACCTATTGCATGGCAGAAGGAAGGCAGAGTTAGAGGGAAGCCATGGAGCCGCCACCAGAGACAATGCGCTGAAACTTTGCTGGTAGGCATGAGGCCATGAATGACCTCATGGTGATGCACAGACTAATGGAGATCCTACACTCTGATGTTTGTAGCACCGTTTTTCCAGTTCCTTTTTACAAGTGAGGGTCCAGAATCAAATGGAATTATAGGAAAATAGGGAAAGGAAAACAGTGGCTTATTGGTAGACAATGAGTCAATTCAATATATTAACTTGTTAATTTTACAACAGAATTGACTAGTCCTTGAAGAACTAAATTCATGCTGAGAAATTATGTGTTAACTACTTGATAATTTCTACAAAATAGAAGATTAAAATTGACAAATTAGTCTGTGGTAACAGATGGGTGCATCTTACAAAATCTAAGGTTGTCAAGAAACACCAATACTAAATATAACTTACACAGGAAACTGAAAAAATCAAGCCCAGGTTTGCATTTCACCAATGAGACTTCCACCAAAGGTTTACTAAATATATAGATGTCTTTTACACTTCATAGCCTTTTGATTCTGAGACAAAAGATGCCATATTATATTGTGCCTACTCCTGGTAACTCTGTAGAATCCACTCCCATAGGCTGCTGAGTACTTCTCTGCCATTTCTGATCCACTTTCAGTAGATAGTGTAACTGTTTTGTTTACTGCCCACTGTGACTGCCTAGTAGCATTTAAAGCTGGGGCGTTATCCTTTTGTTGTTGAACCTTTGAACCAGGAAACTTTGCAGATTGAGGATGGAATGCCTCTTATCACAAAGCAGAATTTCCTACTACTTCCTATCTAAAGTTGTTGAGTATTGTTGAGACTTGACGTGTTCTCATAATTCCTTCCTCAGTTATTCCTGGCTGCACATTTAGAAGTAATTTTATGCCATAAATGTGACTATTGCCAGATTGTGGGAATCTGACTTGGCTACAACAAAGATAATGTTTATATTTAAGTATTAGAGACTATATACACTGACTATAAATACTTGTCATTTGTACATTTAATCTTGAGAATGTCTTTTGTAGTCTCAATATCTACTGCCTTTTCTGTGCTTTGATGTCATCCCCATGATAGAATGAGTGATAACTTTTCCTAGGAGTAACCTGTCTAAATTGTGTCCAGTAGAATCAAACTTTAACACATTTAAGCCAGCTGGATACTCTTGTTGGATTGGCAAGTTCCTATTTCATATTGATAATGGCCATTTGTTTAATGCACAGTTCAACAAATCCTTCAATTCTCATCCATTCTGATTATAATAGCAGCCATACGGACATTGTAAGTTTCATAAAATGTGTTTTTCTCTTCCATAACATCCCCTCATGGATAAAATGTCTGCGTGCCAGGAGGAGATATTTGGGAAAATGTGACATTACAGTTCCTAAAGTAGACAATAATTCTGTGCTCACAATGGAGAATAAAAACTTATCTACCCAGGAAACATATGGGATTTGGAAAAGACCTTGTGAACAGAGAAATGTCAATGATCTTCTTCTCTACAAAACACTCTGTGGAATTTTGCACAAAGAAGAAGCAGAAAAAAAAAAAGGCCAGATTTGTCTTTCCAGAATGGTGGGACGGCCTTGTTTAAATAGCTGCTCAGCTTTGCATTTTACATAAATGAAAATCTGACCAAGATTTTTATCCTATTACATTAAATTCCCTGTGCTGTCTATGAAGGTGGTATCAGATAACCTCAGCTCCTACACTTTCCACCTAAAACAACAGTAAATACCTCAGATGTTTCCATCCCCACAAAGTGTTTGCTTATCCATTGTAGCAAATGAATGGAACCCAGACCTGACCAGTATAAGATCATGAGATCAACCAATTAGTTTCAGGCACTCCTTCAAATAACATTCACTTTGAAGTGAAATAAGAATGCTAACATATACCAACTACATAGAAAATACTTCCAGTTTTAGGGCCACATGTTGTACAAACATTTTAATGTTATAATTCCTTAGTCTATCAACAGATGCTACATGAATTTGTGGGTTGTTTTACTTGGTATTGATTGACTATAACCTGTGCTTTAGGAAAACCTATGAGGCTTAAGATACTTAAGCCAATACATATTATCATGTAGTTTTTAAATTACATTTAAGATTTTATATAATAAGGAAACAGTTGGGTGATCTTCCCAGACATGTAACTGACTTGTTATTAAGAAGTGCAAAGAAATTCTTTCCTTAGTTCCAATAAGCGTGGATTGCTTACAAGATTAAATCATTTGGTGAGCCTAGAACAAGGTTAACATGTTTATAGCTTTTACAAACATATCTCTTTTGCAAGTGTGATAAGGACAATAAATACTGAACAAATTGAAAAGACTTATTTACTCAATAAAATATATGAAAATGTGTTAGATGATATTTGTTGGAAAAATAAGGGGAGCTTGCTAACGGGTCATAATTCTTAAAAGTTTTATTTTATTTATTCATGTGTTTTTCTACAAAACTTTCAGTCAATTGAACTGACTGTTGTTTCTCCAGACACTCTCAAATGGCATAGTTTGGTAGGAAATCATTGGGAAAAGCTGTGTTCTATTCACAAATGGAGAGTGAATATGTCTAATATATTTTATTCCTCAGCTATAACTTATTTTCTTTAGAGGAATCCATGAAATACATAAGTTCTTGGGTCCATCCCCTTCAGATAGCGCTTTGAATGCTATATTCAGGGACTGGTACAATACAATGCGTGTAAACTGTCTACTGCTATTGCTTTGAGTGTGAGGTCTCTCCAAAGTGCATCACACTTTTTCTTGTCCTTTATCCTTGAAATTTCACTTACAAACTTATCAGTTTGTAATTAGGACAAAATATTGTAGTCCTCATATGTTTTATATTGAAACAGATTTTTTATAATGCCTCTCAAACATCGAGACATGTCATGCCATTGGAAGTTAATTGTTCAACCACTGTTATAATTCTTTCTACTCCATGAATAGACTATGTACTGAATTCAGCTGGACTTGCTCTCCTTGGATAATAAATTGTCATGCCTAAATCATTTTATACAATATTTCCCTGGTTTACCACCCATACTCAATTTAATTAGACTTTTTTGCTCTTATCTTTAGCATAAGAACAAATTTTAAAACAATTTGTAATTATAATAAAATTTTGACAAGTTCTACTCCAGTAAAACTTTCTTCAGAGCTGATATAGATGTATGTGCTTATAATTTCAACATTTAAGATGCTCTGGTAGGAGAGTAAGTCTAATTGGGTCTATAAAGTAAGATTGTTTAAAAAGCAAATAACAAATCAAACATTTTTTTTTGATTTTATGATATTCAACCTACCCAAAGGCAAAGAAATATTTCAAGTCTCCATGACCTTCCTGGCTTTCAGTCTCTCTAGAAAAGCACTACCTACACATGGCCTTTCAAATCAGTTTTGTGTGTGTGTGTGTTTTCTCCCACTTAGTGACATAGAGGAAGGATTGCAGCTTATTCTATTTCCTTGTTCAGACAGATAGATTGTGCTCTCTTGATGGCTATTTATAAGTCCAAGAGGGATAAAGGAAAACATCTGATTTCCTGAATCACCCTTTTATGTATATTCAAAGCATATATATTTATCTGCTCTGGTAGATTATTCAATACCACACACACACACAAACAACAACACAATATCGGTTTCTTTTAGATACAATCATCTCAAAATATCAAAGATAGTGTCTCAGAGGGAAATTGTATGGAATCACATGTCCCACACTTCCAATGTGTGAATTGGCACACTATGCTCAGTTTGCACTTATAATCCAGCAATCCTGGAGGAGGTATACTACCAATGCACACCCACCCTTTTAACCTACAAAGTATGTAGCAAATTAAAAGTTTACTGCATTGCCAAGAGAAGCTCTGTCTTCTCTTCAGACTCTCACCATCTCCTCTCAGAATTTACAATATCAAATAATCCAATCATAAATGGGGTACATATCTAAACAGAGAATTCTAAATAGAGGACTCTCAGAGAATTCTAAACAGAAGAATCTCAAATGATCACAATTACTTATGAAAATCTTCACCATTCTTAGCCATCAGGGAAGTAAAAATCAAAACTCTTTTGAGATTCCATCTTGCACTTGTCAGAATGGCTAATAAGAAAAACACAATAACAATTCATACTGGTGAGGACGAACACTTCTCCATTATTGGTCATGACTGTAAACTTGTACAGCCACTATGGAAAATAATAGGTCAGTTCATCAGATCAGTTATTGATCTACCTCAAGATCCAGCTATGCCAGTCTTGGATATAAACCCAAAGGGCACATCTTTCCACAAGACTGTTGCTTAACTATATTCATTAAAGTTTTGTTCATAATAACCAGAAACTGGAAGCAACATAGATGTCCCTATGCATACAAACAAATAAATAAAATATGGTGCATTTACATAATGGAGTATTAGTTGGTTGTTTAAAAGAAGTCATCAAGAAGTTTCCAGGGAAATGGAAGGATTTACAAAAACTCATTCTGAGTGCAGTAATCCATACCCTGAAAGACAAACATGATATGTAATCACTTCTAAGTGGGTATTAACTGTCAAATGATACTCAAGCTATAATCCACAGACTCAGAGAGACTAGGTAAAGAGAAGGTCTCTAGTAGGGAAGCATTGATCTTCCTGGGAACGTGGAACTAGAATAGATTGTGTGTGTGTGTGTGTGTGTGTGTGTGTGTGTGTGTGTGTGTGTGTACAAGGAATGGGTGCAGATGGGAGCAGACAGGATCAGGTGAGGGTTGAGATGGAGCAAGAGGTTTTATGGAGAGGACAGCGCTGAAAAAAGTTTGAGTGATGGGGTGGAAATTTTGTGCAATGGAAACTTCCTCAACTTTATGAGGGTGACTTGAGCAGAGGCTCCTAGTAATGGAAGATACAGAATCCAAAATGCCCATCTTTTGTAGCCAGTCAAGGCTTCCAGTGGTGGGACTGGATTGCATTCAGTTGAGCTGTTGGCCCAGAGTGTCTTAAACTACTCTGTCTGATGCTAGGATAGAATGTCAGTTTCTAAAGCTGACAACAGGGTCCCATTGCAGAGGACTGCTTCCACATAGCTCATTGAGCTATAGAGTTCGAGCTGGTACCTCCATGAAGCTTTTACCCCTATCTTCTAATATCTTTGGTGTGAGAAGGTACCCTGTAGGCTACAAAAAACAAATCTAGACACCAGTCCATCAATAAACCCTTGATCTACAATCTATCCTGCCTGCAAGATATGCTGGGGCAATGATGAAACAGAACCTTTGGGAGTGGCCAACTAATGTTTGGTTTAACTTAAGGTCCATGACACAAGAGAAAATTCATGCCCTAAACTACTAGGATGGCCAGGAACTCAAGAATGGATAGCCCAGAGACCTACGATAAAAATAAATATAATGGCAAAAAAAAAACAATGAAAAGATTCCTAATGATATTCTATTATAGTGATTGATTGGTGCCTTGCCCAGATTTTATCAAAGAAGCTTCTTCTCACAGCAGATAGTAGCAGGTACGCAGACACACAACCTGACATCATGAAGAGAAAGAGTCTAAATTGGAGGTCTCCATCAAGTTACTCCCTTCAGAGATTGGGAAAAAGTACAGATAGGAAGGAAAGATTGTAGAAATCAGAGAGGATGGAGGGCACCATGAAAACGTGACTTACTGAGTCAACTAAACAGGGCTCACATGGACTCACAGGAACTAAAAGGAAAGTCAGGATTTGGATTGTTCTGCACCAGGTTCTCTGTGCATGTATTAGCTTGGTGTTTTTATGGGACTCCTAACAGTGAGAGTGGTTCTAGCTCTGACTCTTTTTGCTTCTGTACATAGAACACTCTTCCTGCTTTGGGTTACCTTGTCCAGCCTTTATATGAAGGTTTTAGTCTTGTCCTACTGTATCTTCTTTTGTCCTCCTCAGCTGTCAGCTCTTGGAGAGCCATTCCTCTCTGAAGAGGAGACAGAGGGACTGAAGATTTGGGGGTGAGTGTGGATGGGAGATGGAAGCTTTTTTGGGAGGTTAAATAAATAAATAAATGGAAAGTAAACATTCTTTTTCTTTGAACTATGTATTTATTCTGTATCTCTGGAGTTCATCAAGATTCTTGGCCTGCCCATTATTACCACCTATAAACAAGAACTTCAAACAAACCCAGATGCAACCCAATACAACTGCAGAAAGGAAATATCTATTTTTCATATAGCAACTGAGTGCCTATTCATGTAATAATAGTATAGAACAAAATATATTATTTTGAAATAATATTCACATTGAGAGACCTTATCATACCTGGAGTGAGGAAAGAGGAAACAGGTTTCAGTAAAGAGATAGCCTGGGTTGCCCATGATCATTTGGATTAGTCATTCTCACCACTGGAGGGATAAATGATATGTGTCTGAAGTATTTTGTGGAGGCTGGTGCCATGGCTGTGAGAAGAGTTTTAAAAAGGGACCTCAAGCGCATTGCTAAAGCTTCTGGAGCAACTATCCTGTCCACACTGGCCAATCTGGAAGGCGAAGAGACTTTTGAGGCTACGATGTTGGGACAAGCAGAGGAGGTAGTCCAGGAGAGAATCTGTGATGATGAGCTGATCTTAATCCAAAATACCAAGGCTAGTACATCTGCATCAATTATCTTACGAGGAGCAAATGATTTCATGTGTGATGAAATGGAGCGATCTTTACATGATGCTCTTTGTGTGGTGAAGAGAGTTTTGGAGTCAAAATCTGTGGTCCCAGGTGGAGGTGCTGTAGAAGCTGCCCTGTCCATCTATCTTGAAAACTATGCAACCAGTATGGTAAGGATGGTTTCAGAAAGGCGCAGGAGACAGTGGTGTTGGGTATACCTGTCAGAACCTACTGCTTTATGCTGTGTTTGCTTTCTGACGACATCTTGTGTTTTTCTTTTTAGGGATCTCGGGAACAGCTTGCTATTGCAGAGTTTGCAAGATCGCTTCTTGTTATTCCTAATACACTGGCAGTGAATGCTGCCCAAGACTCCACCGACCTGGTTGCCAAGCTAAGAGATTTTCACAATGAGGCTCAAGTTAACCCAGAACGTAAAAATCTAAAGTGGATTGGCCTTGATTTGATCAATGGGAAACCTCGAGACAACAAGCAAGCGGGGGTTTTTGAACCAACCATAGTTAAAGTGAAGAGCCTGAAGTTTGCAACAGAAGCTGCGATCACCATTCTTCGAATAATTGATGATCTGATAAAATTGCACCCAGAAAGCAAAGACGATAAACATGGAAGTTATGAAAATGCCGTTCACTCTGGAGCCCTTGATGACTGATTGATTGGATTTCCCTTTTATTTATAGCAGTGTCAGAGGCAATGTCTTAGCCTTGGGTGTCTCATTAAAGTACAGCAAGCTGAAAAAAAAAAAAAGAAAGAAAGAAAATGCTGTAGTAAACCGAAGAAAATGAGCCTTGCTATGTATTCAGAAAGTGAAACTGAAGTCACACTTTTAATAAATTACTCTGCTAAGACTATTTTACTTATAAAAAAAGAATCTGTTGAATACCAATGCTTTCCCAAATCCTGTAAATTATATATTCAATACAGAAGATGTGTTCAATAAACAATGACTACATTTTATATTATTATATGGTTTTAACTGCCAAATTCTAAAAATAATCTTATAGAATATATTTAATTCTCACTAATTAGATTTTATATACAGATTCTTTAATATTTGCAGGAAAATTTACAATGTTATAAAATAGAATTTCAAGCTGTTGTCTCACATCTGACATGTTAGGACAAAGGTTATGGAGAAAAGACGATCCATACTTTGATTCTAGACTGGGTAACATAAGTGGGGGTGGGAGAGTGAGGAGATAGAAACGGAAAGAAAGGGAGAAAGAAAAGAAGAGATAAAAGGAAGGAAAGGAGGGAAGAGGAGAAAATGACTGTTGAGTTGGTATATCTATTCTTAGCAACTTGACTACATCTGGAATTAACCAAAAACCAAGAAAATAGGTACACCTGTGGGAGATTTTTCATTTTTCTTTTTCTTAAAAAGCAAAATGCTCAAAATATTAATTATTAATATCACAACTAATATAAAATGAATCAAAAATGAACTAATTCCACCATATTGAAGATCGTGCTGCTCTAAGAACTGTTTGTTAATTATCATTCAATGTCATTATGTATAATCATGAAAACACATATAAGTAATTATATACTGCCAATATTTTTTTCTTGAAATTAAGAGGCAGTTTGCACATATTAAATCAGAGCATGAGACTCACCTGTAATCTAAGCCATACAGGAGACTGAGGAAAAAGGTTAATTTTGTCCCCCAAAATTCAAGATCTGTCTCAACAACATAAACAAAAGATTACTTGTTTATCAAAGTGCAGAACAATAAACAAACTAACTGACAACTAAAATAAGGGTCCACAAAAGTTAGTCAGCAGTTACATGAAATTCCAGTTCACTTTTTCTTTTTTATTTCCCTCTTCTCCATTTTTATTTTATTAAAAATAAATTTTTCCTATCTCGCAGGATCTTATGAGATCCTTCCACAGCCCATCCTAATCTCCCTCTGCTCTGCTCCTTGCTAGAAAATAAACAGGCATCTAATGAATAGGAATAAAACAAAAGGGAACTATGTCAAATAAGTCAGACTATGAGAAAATAAACAATCAAACAGAATGGAGAATGCTCAATAACCACTTATAGAGTCAGAGACATATATACTTGAACACAGAAAACTCATAAAAATACACACAAAAGGGAATCCATAATATGTGCACAAAGGACTTGTAATGTATGAGTAAGTAAGCATATGAATAAATGACAGGAGATGAGAGAATCTCTGAGGATGTCCTTTAGGCTGTTTTGTGTTAACTGTCTACTGCTAAGCATTGGAGCCTATACTTAAGATAGATTTGTATTTCCAGTGGGATTCTGATGAAGAAAACGAATTTTAATTTGCAAGAAAGTATCAATCAGAAATAGCTTCTGAGTAGATATAGGGTTTTTTGTCCACTCCTCTTCTCAGTGCTGGAACTCCATCCGGTGCAGACCTGTTCATGATCTGTGAATTCGTACTTCCTTTAGTTGGGCTGGTTTTCGAAGGCCTTCTTTCCTAGTTGTCCTCCATCCCCTTTGAATCTTAAAATCTTTCCACCTCCTTTCCTTAGGGCTCCCTGAGTCCTGAGAGAAGAAATTTGATGGTATCATTTCATTTAGGACTTAGTGTTCCAAGGTCTCTCACTCTTGTACATTGTTTGGCTGGGGATGTCTTCATTCGTTCCCATCTGCTACAGCAGGAAGCTTCTGTGTTGATGGCAGAAGAAGGCAATGAACCATGATCCAATGTCATTAGTAGTCATTTTACTGTTATGTTTCTCTATCAGGAGAGAAGAATTTGGTTTTCTCAATCTAGTCTCAGGTTTTTGGTAGCAAAAGCATGTCAGATTTGGGTTTTATCTTATATACTAGGACTGAAATCCAATCAGATATTTGTTGGTTGCTCCCACAAGCGTTGTGCCACTTTTATACCAATGTATTTTACAAGAAGGCTGGGATCATAGATTGAAGGGTTTATAGCTGTGTTGAGGCTTGCCTTTCTCTTTTGGTAGTGTGTAACATACCATGAACATATTTAGGGGTGAAAACTCAAAGTAGGTATTAGTATAGTCATAGTTCATTTGTATTTTAATAAATAATGCTTGCCTGATTGCTGTAGTGATATTTCATTTATATTTCAATTAATAATGTTTGCCTGAAGAACAGAACACAAAACAGACACGCTAATCAGCCGTATAGGCCAAGCAGTTTTTGCACACACTTTTAATCCCAGGATTTGGGAGATAGAGGAAGATGAATTTCTGTGAGTTCAAGGCTACCCTACTCTACACAAGATCAATGCAGAAACAGATCAGGGATTGGTGACTCACTTTTAACCCCAGTACTAGGGAGTCAAATGTCTTTAATTTCAACACTAAGGGGAATATCAGACAGGAGGAGACAGAGGCTCAGGGCTTAATCTGCAGTCATCCAGCCATTGTAGAGAGAGGTAAGACTTCTCTAGTGGCTTGGCTGTTTTAATTTTCTGTCTTCAGGCAAGCTTTATTTATTAAAAATACAAAGCAATATTGCTACACATTAGCTTAACTTCTCATTGTTCAGTGAGTTATATAGGAGCTGTCTTCAGCAATAGGGCCTTACACTTATTTTGTGAAAAATGAACTGATAGCCTTGATTATGTGTGGGTTCCTTTGGTTTCCCTTTGGCCAATACCATATGTATATGTATAGTCCATTCCCAGTATTTAAAACTTCCTTTTTCATTTCTTGGCAATGAGAGAGGTATTTTTGGTGTCTATTCTCTCCATTCTTTGGTGAATGCATATATAACCTTCATAATGTTTAGGTTTCCGTATAACCATCCCAGTGGCTTTTGGTTTAAGCTGTTCCTCACACATTCTTCCCCTTACCCATTCTTCCTTTTTTTTCAAGTTCCATTCCCCCACCTTATTCATTTTTATCTATCTATTCTATAATCTTCATAAAGAGATCTTTCCCTCTTCCCTAGTCCTTTATATACAACCTTTGTAGTGATACAGACTTTAGTTTGCTTCTTAAAGACTTATTGGTGAATATTCACACATGGATGGCCTCATTCCAGATTCTTTGTCTAGCTTTATTCATCTACCTGTAACCTCATGATTTCAGTTTTTTAAGCGATGAGTGTGATTACACTCTTATAAGGTACCACATTTTTTTTTTATCCATATATCCATTGATGGACACCTAGATTGTTCTCAGTTTTGGCTATTATTAATGGAGCAACAATAACCGTTGTTGAACATGTGTGTCTGTAGTAGGATGTATCATCCTTTGGATATATATATATATATATATATATATATATATATATATATATACATACATACAAAACAAAAAAAAAGAATTCAGTAATCATGGAAATCTCACTGGAAAAATTTAAAACCATTAAAATAATATGTAAATAATTTCTTGAGCATGTTGAATTTTATTATTCCATGACATCAAATCAAAAAGTTATTGCAAACAAAACTATTGATGTTACCTTTTCTAAATTCCCTGTTAGTATACACATAAAATGTAAGGAACAATATGCAGTGTGTTTTAGCAGAATGTTTCTGCAAAAGCCTTGTTATTTTTATTCTCAATTTTTCTCTCATTGATATTAGAGAATGTGCAAACAATATAATATAGATGATTTATAAAAACATAATGAGATTTTTCACATTCACAGAGTATTGTCATCAAAGAGTACATACTATTAATATATGAAGTAAAAGTTGTAATAAATGGTAATAAGAAGTGACTAAACAATCCAAAATGGAAAAAGAACAAAACAAGACAAAAATGAAAAGCAAAAGACAATAGTACCAACAAAGCTTTGTTCACCTTTGGTATGTGGCTAACATTTTAAAGGTAATTAGTAAATTCAAAAAAAAAACCTATTACCTTTCATTTCAAATGGTCTTGAGGTAGTACATATGAAAAGCCAATATGAAAATACCTTTGTAAAAATATCTGAGAATTAGCTAGGAATATTGATGGACAGAAGAGAGAAGTCACGTAGGACGAGCATCAAAATAAAACACATGTAAAATCCCGACCAAATGACATAACTTCACTTTGCTAGATCACCAATCAGGGCCAAAAGAAGATCCACCAGCTAACACAGACCATGCAGTCTAATCAAAGGAGGTGGAATTTTATAAAATAAGGCACTTATTTTCTGAACCCTGGGTTAGATTAATATGACATAAAGAATGTTTTTTAAAAGATTGATTTTTCTTTGGGGTTTGTTTCTGAATTGCATAGATATGACTTCCATAACATAAGCATCTAATGAAAACCTAAAAATGAATCACAATGAATTGCATGGGTGNATTATATAACTGAATCTGGAGGTAGATGCACAACTTCATTAGGAACAGACTCATTGATTTCCATAGTAGCTTTCGAAGTTTGCAGTCAGAGCAGCACTGGAAAAGGGTTCTCTTTAATTCACATCATTGTATTTCTATACTTATTTATTGATCTGGATAACATGTCCATTCATAAGAGTGGGATATTAAAATCATTCACTCTCAGTGTGTGAGTGACAATATATAGAGTTTTTGGTTTGTTGGTTTGCTTGCTTTTTCGAGACAAGGTTTCTCTGTAGTTTTAGAGCCTGTCCTGAAACTAGCTCTTGTAGACCAGGCTGGCCTTAAACTCACAGAGATCTGCCTGCCTCTGCCTCCCTAGTGCTGGGATTAAAGGTGTGAGCCACCAGCACCTGGCTTAGTTTTGT